TACCCTGTGCTGCTGATGAAACTCTCCAATTGGCTCGGCAAAAGTTTGTTGTTGTTTTGTGTCAGTTTTACGTCGCGACTTTCTGGCCGTTTCTCAATCGCGAGGAAACTTGCTTCCAAGCCAATATTTCAAGGATACTACGTCATCGAGTGCCGCCGAAGGACTGTTCCAATCTCCAGCATACTTGGAATTCCACCGAGGCCACGTCCTTGGTATGGGGGTAATTTCGAGGCTGCACATGGGTAGACTTCGCGTCCTTCAAATCCCCACAATGCTTTGCGCACGGACCAATTTCAAAAACCCTTGCGGAGAATGGCTGAACCGACGCAGCACAGCACACATTTAAATGTAAGTATGTAGTGGCGTAGAACATGTGTTGGTAAATATGTTACTTTGTTGCATTTGTTATCACCAAAAATGTGTTCCGTGAAAGTAAAGCAAGTTCATAATTAGATAGACATCGTGAGGTATTTATTTTCGGTACAGTTTATGTTCAAACTGTTAGAGAGAGTGGCACACTTGTTAGCCTGTTCCATTCTTCTTTGTTTTCCGAAGCCGTGGCTTGGAAGTATACTTGCTTCGTTTCTGAAGGAAGTGACTTGGAAGTATGCGACTACCAAGCCAGTAACCTCGCGATTGAGAAACGGCCCGAGTGTGCTCCCTCCGTGAGGGTTGGCTGGAAAAGAGACGTGACGTATTTATCATCCGTAGTCTTCTCCTATTGGCTTAGCGACGACGGGGGCGGGTCCAAGGCACGTCCTGTCGTTTTCTGAAGTTAGTTTTACAATCTTCTTATAATATCTATTGGTCATTTAAACATTCGCTAATAATAGTATTGCGGCGTCAATAAGTGAGCGTTGAAGACTGTGTTTAGTGTGCAACACAAGTATATTGATTCATCAACTAAAATGATATGATACTGATTGGTTTAATGTATTTTCAATTTCAACAATCATCAACTCTGGAATCAATATGATCAGTATTATGCATTTTACAAAGAAAGTTTGCATTATGATTTTTATGAATTGTATAAATTGAACCTCGTTGGATTAAAAAATTCACTTTATTAACTGTTAATTGTGAACAACCGCTCGAATAAGATATTTGTTAAAATACAATTCTAGATACAGGAAGGCTAAAACAATCCACTAAACAGGGTTCAATATAAGTACTTGTTTACTAGCAGTGCTGCTGTTCTATGTTTCGTCAGTGACCATTTTTCGGTAGAGGCAAGAACATCTCGGGTGACGAGTCTGCACACATTCACAGATATACAACGCAGATGTACTGTTCCGTTACCATGTGGTAAGTCACGATGATCGGTACAAAAGTACCTAT